GGGATATATGCACGAGAGCGAGCGCATCGACCACTGCATCGGCGGCCTGAAGCAGGACATCGCTCAGGAAATCCAGCTTCGCGGCGTCACCGACTTTCAAGAAATTCTCGCTATGGCGGAGAAACTTGATTTCTTCCGCCGACCGAGACCGGGGTCCTACGGAAGCAGCCATTGGGGACATCGGCCTCGTGGGACGAACGAGGGCGCCACGATACGTGCCGTCGCCGCAAATGCCGCTGCCGCACCATTCAAAGGGCGCTGCTTTGCGTGCAATCGGCCGGGACATCGCAAGAGCGAATGCCCGGAAAACGCTAAGGGAAAGGGGGAAGCTGAGCAGCAGAAACAGACCAAGCAGCAAGGAAACGCTGGGAGTCAGTAGCAGACGGGCCCTCTACTGACAGGTCATGCCGCTCGCCCGACCCAACCGACCCTCACCGAGTGATTGTGCCGGTTCACGCAATCGACCACACCCGGCCGAATAAGGAGGGTACTACGGTAGACAGCCCCATACTGCTTAGTGGGAAAATCGGGACGGACTTAATAAAAATCTTCGTAGACGGGGGAGCCAGCCACAGCCTCATCAACACTGCCACAGCACGAAAACTGCGACTGCCACTGGACAGATGTTTACCTGAGATCGACGCAAGACTGGTAGACGGCACGCCGCTGGCAATACGGGAACGCGTAGACCGGGTTCGGATTCGATGTGGGGGTAACTTCACGTTTAGCCAGGAAATGCTCGCAACGACCCTCGACGGAACCGATATTTTACTCGGGCGTGATTGGCTGCGACGACACAATCCGCGAATCGACTGGACGACGGGTGAATGCACCGTGCGAGTGAACGGTAACAACATCGCCTTACCTCGCTGGGGCTCACCTGAGTCTTCGTCGGTGCGTGTCAACGCGATCACGATGAAACGCGCCGTAGCGGCAGGAGCTGACGTGTACGCGGTCGACATTCGGGAAGCCGAGGTAGCAGACAAAGGAGGGGATTTACAGAAACTACTGGCCGACGTACCGAGTGATCTGGCAGCACTGTTGAAGCAGTACAGCGACATCTTCCCGGACGATTTACCGACGGGACTGCCACCTCAGCGACCGCACGACCACAGGATAGAGTTAGAACCGGGGGCACAGCCAACAGTACAGCGACAGTTCCGACTGACCCAGCCCGAACTGGACGAACTGAGGAAGCAGCTCGATTACCTGCTCGAGAAGGAATTCATTCGCCCTAGTTCGTCGCCCTTCGCAGCACCAATACTGTTCACACCGAAAAAAGACAGGGGATTTCGCATGTGCATAGATTACAGAGCACTGAACAGGGTTACCATAAAATCCCGCTACCCCATCCCGCGAGTTGACGAACTGATCGACCAACTGCGCACAGCCCGGGTTTTCTCGAAAATCGACCTCCGAGGGGGTTACCACCAGATTCGCGTCAATCCAACCGACTGCCCTAAGACTGCATTTCGAACACGCTACGGATCCTTCGAATACACCGTCATGCCCTTCGGACTGACCAACGCCCCCGCCACTTTTCAAATGACCATGAACGAAGCTTTCCGCCCGCTCTTAGATAAGTGCGTCATCGTATACCTGGACGATATATTGATTTACAGCCCTGACAGAACACAGCACTTACAGGACATCGAAACAATTTTTAAAATACTGAGTGAGAACCGCCTACTGACAAAAGCGTCTAAGTGTGAGTTTTTACAGGACCGCCTGGAATTCTTGGGACACGTTATTTCAGCTGCAGGAGTGGAAATAGACCCGAAGAAAAGTGCGACGATTCAAGCATGGCACGCGCCGACCAACTTGACCGAGTTGCAGATTTTTTTGGGGTTCGTCAACTACGTGCGTCGGTTCGTCCCCGACATGGCGAAGCTGACTGCCCCGCTGACAGACCTGCTGAGGAAGGGGGTTGAGTACACGTGGGGGGAGAAAGAGCAAGCTGCCTTCTCGGCCCTCAAAAACATTTTGTGCTCACCGCCCGTGCTCCACATCGCAGATCCTCACCGTCCGTTCGAGCTCGTCACTGACGCAAGTGACATCGCTGTGGGAGCAGTACTGTTGCAGGACTTTGGGAACGGCCTTCAGCCAATCGCGTACGAGTCCCGCAAGCTGCACCCGCCCGAACGCAACTACCCGATACACGACCGCGAAATGTTGGCGATCGTGCACGCGTTCAAGGTTTGGCGGTGTTATCTGACGGGCGCCGACATGACAGTACGGACAGACCACCGATCACTACAGTATCTACACGCCCAACCAAATCTCAATCCGCGACAGATTCGCTGGTTGGACTACCTCGAGTCCAACTTCCACTACACGGTTACGTACAAGAAAGGCGCCTCCAACATCGCCGACGCACTCACTTGCCCTACCGCCCAACTCCATGCCATCCTACTCGCCCAGACCAACCCGCTTTTAACAGGCCTATTCACCCACGGATACCGCACCGACCCGTTTTTCACGACCGGAAATTCACAGCAACTGGCAGAAGCTAAAGAAGTTTATTACGTCAAAACAGGCACTAACCGCATCTGGGTACCCGCGTACTCACTACTGAGGGAGCTACTACTGCAGGAGGCACACGACGGAATTACCTCGGGACATTTTGGGGTAGAAAAAACGCGACAGCAACTACAGCGGTATTACTACTGGCCGGAGCTGTTGACCGACGTGCAGCAGCACGTGGGCTCGTGCCCCACGTGTCAGGTGATGAAGAGCTCGAGGAAGCGGAAGGCGGGTCAATTGCAGCCGATACCACCGCCCGAGCGCGCCTGGTAGCAGGTTACCATGGGCTTCGTCACAGGGTTACCTTCGAACCCTGGGGGTAACGACGCGGTGATGGTCGTCGTTGACAGGTTGACGAAGATGGCACACTTCGCTGCGTGCAAAAAGTCGATCTCAGCCGAGGAGACCGCTCACCTGTTCATCGCAGCCGTTGTTCGCCTGCACGGGATACCAGCAGCGATTATCAGCGACAGAGACACGAAGTTCACCAGCAACTTCTGGAAAAACCTCTGGGAGCAGTTCGGGACCAGGCTACAGTTCAGTTCGTCGTACCACCCCGAGACCGACGGTCAAACGGAGCGGACGAATCAGACAATGGAGCAGTTGATTTGTGCCACGTGCGACGACCCCACGACTTGGGAGCAGCAGCTGCCGCTGATTGAGTTCGCGTACAACAACGCCACGTCAGCGACGACGCAGCAGTCACCCTTCTACCTGAACTACGGGCAAAATCCTACAGTGCCCATGACGCCGAGTCCGGACAACCCAACACCACACACACAGCAATTCGCCGAAATTCTGCAAGCTGCCCGCACCAGAGCCGCAGAAACAATTAAAAAGGCAAACGTCATCGCTAAGCGCAACGCTGACCGCCACCGCCGCCCAGTCACCTACCAGTCAGGGGATTACATACTGCTCGACACGCAAAATCTGCGACTGCCCGGCGTACCAAAACTTCGACCGCGATACTGTGGCCCATTCCAAATCAGCCACATGATTACACCAGTAACCGCGCACCTACTGTTACCAACCGACTGGTACATCAGCCCTTCATTCCACGTCAGCTTGCTCCGCCCATACATCCCAACCACAAGCCAACTGCCTCGCCACCGCCCGCCATCCATGACTCGCCCTGCATCAGAGCCGATCATCGAACCCGAAGAGATCCTGAGTCATCGGATTCGCCACCCCACGGGAATCAGGAGGATTGAATTCCTCGTTCGCTGGAGGGACCGCACGCCAACCGAAGATAGCTGGGTGCCCCTGACCAACATCGAAAACCACCCTGCCCTGCAAGTATACCTGAGGAGCCGGGGATTCCGCGATATAAACGCACTCGCGTAGCGGAGGGGGCTTCTTGAGGGGGGGGGGGGGTAGTGTAAGGAATTTTCTCGGCATTCCTTACGGAGCCCGACTACATCGCGTACAGCAACAAGCCGTTGTTCGCCCGTTACTGCTAACGGGACTTCGCCAACTTCGCGCGCACTGTTTGCCAAACCTCGCACTGCTGGCCCGGCCGTGTCGGCCTACGCTTTGGGACTAGCCCGAGCCTCGCTGCCAGCATAGCACTAGCTAGCTCGCACGCACCGCGTTACCGTTTGCATATCTCGCATACAAATGTTCGCTCATGCATTCGCTCACATCCTTGTACTCATTTGACACCTTAGTGCAATTCTCGCTACTTCGATTCATTGCACCCGTAACAGTCACTAAATCAAATGGCTAAGGTACCTTGGCTTTTCTTTGTTTTCGGTGTCCAGTGCTTCAAACTCGCGTAAAAAACCAAAGTGAGCGGGTGTATGATATAGCGCAAACCGATTCGTAACGGCTCCAGCGGGTACAACTCTCCCACACAAACCAAGCGGTCCGGTGATGAAATTTCTTGCGATGCGACCGACAAGAATCAGCCAGAGCAATTTCGCACTTCCATTTCAATGGACTCGATTTCCTTGCTTTCCCTGCCTTACCTCCCATCACCTCCCCTGCAAACCACTTCGTGCTCGAAACTGTTGCATCAAATCGATACCTTTCGTGGCGTAGGCTATCGGACGACCAGTGATTTATGCGCAATCAAAACAAAGAGCGAGATGTCGCGCGTCTGCGTGTGCGCAGTGCTATGTCTCCTAGTAACGGCTTGCTCATACTCACACGCAGCGCATGCCTCCGTGTCGTCAAAGACGAGTAGATTTTTTCAGCCTGCTCCTCCGGGAAGTCCATCAGGAAGGCCTAATACGACGCATTTCCGCGGTCCGCGCGACGATGAGAGCGTTGGGCAGCACTTGAGGGCGAAGAGACGCACAGAGATCGGCGAGCACGCAGACAGGAATGGAGCAGCCAAAAGAAGGTTGATGATGAAGAGTTCCGCGAGAAGGCGAGGCGTCGCCGGCACAATAGAAGCTACATTAGGAGCTAATTCAACGGGTTCAAAGGCTTTGAGAGACGCTTACTTGAGGAGGGAGAAAGGCGCGGGGCGGGGCATGGCCAATGTTGATACGCAACGTGCATCAGCATTGGCAGGAGCAGCAGGGATAGAAATCTACGGCAGGAATTGGCAAGCCGACATTCGGCATTTCACCGCATTGGTGCGCGGGCGGGCGGTGCGGCGTGCTGCATCGGCCTATCCGCGTGTTCGTGATGTGGTACGGGCGTGTTCTCCGAGGCTCAGAAGCAGACGGTTCGCTCCTTCGTCGCTTCGCTCAGCCCCAACGCTGGACGCCGCCGTCACTGGTGGGTAGCCCGCAAAGGACCCCCGAAAATAGCCGCCGCGCATTCTCAGGAAATGCTGTGGATAAATTTTGGCCCTCCTTGTAGTGGCCCCCGTTTCCCTTTCTCCCCCCCAATGATCTAGTATTTCCCCCCCCCGAATCCCGCCCTTCCCTTCAACCCGAATCCCGGCGTTCCCCCTATCCCCTTGCCCCCACATTCACTGGCAGTACCGCTGTGGTGGAACGTGAACCGACAGTACCACGACCAAGCTGGACGGCGGGTGGCGGAAACCGTCACGTGGGGCGGTGAGACGGACGACGCGGGATACTCCCGAGGCGCCACGCTCTACGACGCTGACGTCACGGCGCTCGTCGCTGACGCCATCACGAGCCGGAGGCTGGCTTATGACGCGGATGGGGTGTACTTCGTGCTGTCGGACGCGAGTGTGGCGCAGGCGGGCTCCGACAATCCCCAGGAGGACCGCTTCTGTGTGGCGTTCTGCGGGTGGCACTTCTTTGGCTCAGCGCCTGGCTTTGGCACGTTCATTACTGCGTGGACCGGCAAGGCGGACCTTCAGGTGCGTGGGTGGGTGCGTAAGTGGGTGGGTGCGTGGGTGGGTGGGTGAAAATGTGTTCTGGTACGTGCGTGGGAGGGGGGGCATCCCTGCTGGTGGGGTGGGTGAGCAGGTGCGTGAAAGGGTTGGCCTCGTATCCTGAAAGCGGGAGAGCTGATCATCTGGTTGCTCCTTAAACATGCAATCTTTCGTACGTCGTCACCTTATGTGGCCGCCTCCCTTCCACCCCCCTTGCAGTGCCCCACGTCGTGCATAGCAGCGGACATCCGCAGCAACGCGTCTCTATCCCCCACGGGCGACCCCGGCATGGATGGCCTGGTGTCTGTCTTCGCCCACGAGCTCGCAGAGGCGGCTGCCAGCCCGTTCGTCTCCACGTGGTTTGACAGCGACGGGGAGGAGAACGCCGACAAGTGCTCGTGGACGTGAGTGCACAGTTCACAGTGCATCTCGTGTCTTGTGAGGCGCCTCAATAGTCGCCGACAAGTGCTCGTGGACGTGAGCTCACAGTGCCTCTCATGTTTTGATTATACCCGTGTCAGTTTTGAGGCGTCTTAGTATTCAGCGAATGCGGCTTCCAAATGGTCTGTTTCTGCGTCACTCATGTCTGCACGGGGCCCTCATGCCTCCGCTAAGGCCCCTGCCTCCGCTTACGCCCTCTGCCTTCGCTTACGCCCTCTGCCTTCGCTTACGCCCTCTGCCTCCGCTTACGCCCTCTGTCTCCGCTTACGCCCTCTGCCTTCGCTTACGCCCTCTGCCTTCGCTTACGCCCTCTGCCTTCGCTTACGCCCTCTGCCTCCGCTTACTCCCTCTGCCTCCGTTTGCGCCCTCTGCCTTCGCTTACGCCCTCTGCCTTCGCTTACGCCCTCTGCCTCCGCTTACGCCCTCTGCCTCCGCTTACGCCCTCTGCCTTCGCTTACCCCTCTGCCTCCGCTTACGCCCTCTGCCTCCGCTTACGCCCTCTGCCTCCGCTTACGCCCTCTGCCTCCGCTTACGCCCTCTGCCTTCGCTTACGCCCTCTGCCTCCGCTTACGCCCTCTGCCTTCGCTTACCGCCCTCTGCCTTCGCTTACGCCCTCTGCCTTTGCTTACGCCCTCTGCCTCCGCTTACGCCCTCTGCCTCCGCTTACGCCCTCTGCCTTCGCTTACGCCCTCTGCCTCCGCTTACGCCCTCTGCCTTCGCTTACGCCCTCTGCCTCCGCTTACGCCCTCTGCCCTCCGCTTACGCCCTCTGCCTCCGCTTACGCCCTCTGCCTCCGCTTACGCCCTCTGCCTCCGCTTACGCCCCTCTACCTCCGCTTACTCCGACATACATAAGTGAGAAAATGCAGGTCCAACCCTCTTGGCCTGGTCCAGTCATCCCTCCCATCCCTCGTGCACTACCCTCCCCCATCCAGGTTCTCTACCATTCGAACAGGCCCCCCCATCAGATACAAACCTGGTGGGGTCAACGCCTCCAAGTTCACCCCCCCCGCCCTACCACCACAACCCCCCTCATTCCCCTCTCTTTTCCCTTCTTCCTGTCCCTCTCTGCCTCGCCTTTGCAGGTTCGCACCCATTCTCACGGACCCATCAGAAGCCAGGTACAACCTGGTGGGGGGTCAACGCCTCCAAGTTCCTCATCCAGCACAACTGGGACCCCTCTCTGCCTCCTGCAAGCTCACCCTACCATACCCACCGCCCCTCACACCCTCCACCACCCTCGAAACGCCTCCTGCGGACCTTGCCCGCCTCCCCTCCACCCGGCACCATAAACCAAGCGTCAAAGAGCATTGTGCGAGGGTGAAAGCGGTGCTGGCAGGCGAGGCAGACCGGTGGAGGAAGAGACCCCCTCGGTCACACCCGTGGTGCGATTGCCAACCCAGCAGTGGGTAAAGGCGGATAGGGACTGAATGTGGGCAAGCAGAAATGTGGTTACGGTGTCTGTCAATGCATCATGCCTTCCTGAGTGATGCATTCTTGTGTGTACTGTATTAGCTTAAAACTCACAACACACCAAGTGGTCATTCCATACTGCGCATCGCATTTATACACTCCACAGAAAGGCACATTCGACCCACAAGCAATCAAGCGAAGCAAACCACAATTGAGCAGCTTTGCCAACCAATCGAATGGACAGCACAGCAGGCAGACGGCAAAAAGCCCTTCACTCTCGGTCCATGCCATCCCCAGGTCCAGTCCAGAGCTGGCAGTGCAGGCGGCAGTGGTGCTCCATGCGGTGCCATGAGCGGCAGCAGCAGGCACAGCGGCCACACCAAGCCCCACGGCCCACTTGCAGGTGACCAGAGCGCTATGCACAAGGGCCACCAGGGCGGACAGCAACAGCACTGCCGGCTATGGGGCAGCAGCAAGTGGTGCTTCCTTGCCTGTCCCTGCCCTGCTCTCCTGCCCATGAACATGCTGCTGCACTGCAGACCCACTCCGTAATGACTCGTGGCCTTGCGGACTTTGCTGCTCGTTGGCCCGAATCCCTGCTCCTGCCTGCTGCTGCCCCTGAAAACTGCTCCTGCTGTGTCTGCCCCGTTTGCTGCTGCTGCTGCTGCTGCTGCTGCTGCTGCTGCTGCTGCAGGTGAAGGAGCACACCATCCACGTTGTGTTGCAGCCTGAGCCATGCCTGCCAGCACCGCAATGCATCTCCCTCCGCGTCACATACCCCCCCTCCGACACCCCCACCGCCCCTCCACCTCATGTGTCACCCCATGCCCCTTCCCCAACGCGCTCCCACGCCCCCGACCCCATGCCCACTCCCTCACTCGCACTCCACACGCCCATTCCCATCTCCTCTCACACTACTCATGCTGTTCCCCCGCCACTGCCGCTCGCCCCCTCCTGCTCGTCACCAGAGCCTCATGCACACTCTCTAATGGCCCCACTGACCCATCAGAGCAGCTTCTCCCCCATGCTGACGTGGCAGCAGTGTGTGCTGACCCTGTGGCAGAGAGACTAGGAGAAGCAGCGACCTCGCTCCCTACACGCCCCCACTCGCTCCCTACACGCCCCCACTCGCTCCCCACATGCCCACCCCCGCTCCCCACACGCCCACACTCACTCCCCACTTGCCCAACCTCACTCCCCACACGTCCACACTCGCTCTTAGTCCTATACAGCAAAGCTTGGGCCAAGCCTGTCCCTGACGCTTGGGAGGAAAAGGTGGGGGAGGGAGAAGGGCGGAGCGAGCTTGGGGAGCCTTTGACGCCTTCAATCCCACCCGCAGCAGCCGTAGCAGCAGCAGCCGCTGCTGCTGCTGCAGCAGCAGCAAGCGCAGCGGCAGCAGCGGCAGCGCGGCAGTGGGGGTAGAGGAGGAAGAGGAGAGGAGAGGAAGCGAGTGATGGAGCCGAAGCGGCGAAGGTGGTCCTCTGAGGCCCCCTCGGTAGCAGCGGCTGCTGCTGGTGCAGCAGACTCACACTGTCCACTGCCCTCACTGCCCCTCTCTCCCCCTTTGCCCTC